TATGCTATTCAGCCAGAAATAGTTTTTGTTCCTGGCTATTGTTATAAAACTGATTTTGTCTTTCTGTCACCAGTGCAAAAACAGTATAGATGTTTGGGCTAATACAAAAACATCTAAGACTCTACAACTTTATATGTAATACTCTATTTAAATTTAACTCAAAGTAATGCAAAATAATTAGAAGTAACAAGTAAATTATTCTGAGAGCTCTATTTGGAAAAGCTTCACATTCCACACACAAATATGGGTCTATTCATGCACGAGGAAAACAACTGTATTCTGAAGCATAAATAAATTAAAAGTAAGACATAAGTAGCTAGATACCAGTTCCAGTAGTGATTAATGGTCTCTGGGGATCCCACTTGAAGGACTCTCAGATGAGAATCTTGCTCAGTTGTTAGATCATTAGTTTGATTAAGCAACTAAAGTTTACTTCATAAATTACTTTTTCCTATATCCAGGACTCTGCCTGAGACAGTTTCAGAAACTATACACCCCCCCCACAAAGGTAAGCATTTGACTATTAACACAAAGGCAATGTGATTATTGCATAATGAGACTAAATATTATGTGGCTTGTCTAGTTGTTAGGTTTATACGTTTTCATGATCAGTTGTTTTATACCAGTGGTCGATAAACAATAGCCCACAAGGCTAAACCCAGACTCCCCTTGTTTTTATAAAGTTTCATAAGGACATAACCACACTCGTTCATTTCTGTATTGTTTATAGTTGCTTTCATGCTACAATAGCAGAACTGAATAGTTGTGACAGAGACTGTATGGCCCATGAAGTACAAATATTTACCATCTGGTCCGTTCTAAAACAAAGTGTGTCATTTCCTCTTTTACACTAAAATGTAGAGGTCAGTAGGAAGCCTATTTGAAATGTTAAAATTAAGGGTCAGGTGACTCAGCAACCAAACAAAAGGTATAGTAATTTTTTTATGAACCATAAGTTTGTATTTTATGGGCATGAAAGGGAAAAAGGAAGGGAAGAAATATAAAAGGCCATTTTTTTTAAATATCATAAGAAAATTAACATTCCATCCATGAAATAAACCAAAACTTGAGCTTAGAGTCTCTCCCTACTAAACAAACTACTTGTGGAATGTTTTTATATCTGGACAAAATGTTATCCAAATTGATCAGACATATAAAGTAGACAAATGAAACTAACACACGACTGCCAGTTTCTAAGGAGTGTTACGGTCGCCATCTTCGTAAAGCCAGACCCAAACTGCAACCATAACAAGCTGTCGTCATAAAGGCAAAAATCTAAGAAAAAAGAAACAAAAATTCACATTAGATTCACAACACTGACTTAAAAGCAGTGTCCTAAATAGCAACCATATGAAGATTGACCAATCTACCTAAAGACACTTAGAAAATATTTTATATTTTTTGATGATTTGTACAACTGTTTTATTCCCTCATACAATTATCCCCCAATTCCTTTAAACATTTTAGCCCTAATAATTTTCTCATAGGTAGACAACTTTACATTGAACATTTGTTCACATGCTGGGCTCACTTAAGTATCTGTGAACCCCCAGGCACTGTATTTAAAAATTAAGCATGAAGTTCTATACATGTAGTGGTTTCACACCCAAGAAAACCAGCAACCCTCAGGGCCCGAGGATGCATCAAATAATTCCCGTGACAATGGAAAGTAACTTTAAAAGTCAACAGAGACAGACAAGTGGAAATGAATGATCAGGTTGGCTTTCTCTTGTATGGGAGACAGTCCTATGCACAAATCTACACTCTACTGTGAATTACTGTCCTTAGAATTTCTTCAGCACCAGCTGTGTGTATATCACTACATTTGGTACATATAAGCAAACGGTAGATAACGTCCTCACCCTTTTGGGGTTTATGATCCATAGAAGACTAAAAGACAAAGCAAAAGCAGTTCAACATGATAAATATTATGGTTTAGCACCGGGGTTCTTAAGCAGGAAACTACAGCTCTGGGAAGCAATACCAGATTCACCTATAGACCATTTTCACAGTTTAACTGCTTTTCTGCTATTGATTTCCACCCTTCTGCTGCTGATTGATTCTCTGACAATTTCTAATCTAGACATTGTTTTCTAAATGAGAGCAATAGCTTTTGATACATGTATCAGGGAAAAGGGATTTTCCTCCCAATCTAATGTCCCATGGATGGGACATTTCAAAGCTAAAACCATGACTCTGTTGTAATCCCACCTTCAGCCTAATTCATTGCAGGCACTCAATAAATTCTGACAAATCCTATCAGAGACTCGGGAAACTTATAATGGGTCTTGAAATCATTTGTCTTCTACCCCCTAAGAAGTCAGACTCTAGACCTGTATTGTCTAATGTGACAGCCACTAGCCACATGTGGTTAAAATAATACTAAAAATTCAATTCCTTCATCATACTGGTGTGCAGTGGTGTGGCCCCGGCTCACTACAACCTCCGCCTCCTGGGCTAAAGAGATTTTTCTCACCTCAGCCTCCCAAAGAGGTGGCACTACAGGCACAAGCCACCAGGCCTGGCCAATTCTTTATTCTCCACCCCCCCCACTTTGAGAGACAGAGTCTTGCTATGTTGACCAGGCTGCTCTAGAAATCCTGGCCTCAAGCAGTCCTCCCACCTCGGTCTACCAAAGTGCTGGGATCACAGGCATGAGCCATGGCTCTTTGGCTTACTTTTCAATTGCTCAACAGCCACATGAGGCTAGTGGCCAACATACCGGACAGCACTTACTAAAAAGAAAGTTCTACCAGACAGTGCTGCACCAGACAGATTTCAAGGCCTATATGGGGAGTAGTGGGTTATTTACAGGCTACCTGGGAAACATAATAAAACATTAGGGTCACTAATTTGCCATATATTTATATTAAATATCACACTATTTCAGAAAATTTGGTTTTCTGGCATCTTAAAAGTGATTTTTAACAACAAAAATAATACATTAGTTCTTCAAATTATCTATACAATACAAAATGACAGATTCACTCCAGTATGTGAATTAAAGATGATTTAAAAATTTATAAATGCCCCAAGGAATGCATTTCATCTGCCTATCATCTACTGCAGTGGCTGGTATATTTGCCTCCCTCCCTCACCTGCACTGTCCTGAATGGCAGGAACTGCAACTTATTCACCCCATCCTCAACAGCCAACAAAATTACTTGATTTATGGTAGGCCCACAGTATCTATTCATTGAATAAAAACAAAGTGCAAACAGCTATTGAATACTAAAGAACCAAACTGGGAAATCTCCCTTACCATGTCTGAAAGTTATAAGAAGCAAAAAACACAGTTCTTTTTGCAGACCCCTCAAAACTCAGACTCCAGACCTGTATTGTCTAATATGATAGCCACTAGTCACATATGGTTAAAACTATTAAAATCATATTAAAAATACAGTTCCTTAGTCATACTGGTTACTCCCCATTCCCCACCGACCCCTCGACCGAGTCTTGGTCTGTCACTCAAACTGGAGTGTAGTGGTGCGGTCTCGGCTCACTGCAACCTCCACCTCCTTGGGCTCAGGAGATTTTCTCACCTTAGCCTCCCAAACAGGTGGCACTACAGGCACAGCACACCAGGTCTGGCCAATTCTTAATGAGAGATGGTTGCTTGCTGTGGTCTTATATGAACATCAACCTCTTTATGCTTCAGTTTAATCACCCGCAACCCTGTGAGCAAAGTGATCATGGCACTTTGCTCACAGGGTTATTGTACAGATAATAGCTATGATATATTTAACGTTAACGGCTAGTATTAAAGAGAACTATTGTTGCCTGCAGTTTCTTGGAGGCCTTGACAGTGGAGCGGAAGTGCTGGTGAACGGTACTCATTGAGTACTTACTGTGGCTGCTACGTTTATGTTATACTGGTTATCACTCAGGAGCGGCTGCAGGGTCATGGTTGTATTGCAATGCAAATCATGCAGGGATGTGGCTGCTGCTTCCAATAAAAAGGCTCCAAAATAGAAGACAAACACTGTAAAATGGTAGGCAAAATCCTAAAAGAGGAGAGAAAAGACATCTGCAATTAATAAGATATTTTTCTGTTGCTTATTTCAAATGAAGTCTAGGTTTAGCAAGATCAAAACATTTAATTAAACCATCTTAATTACATTCTCTGTTTATCTTAGCCTGACATTTCTAAAGCAAGTACTAGAATCCAAGTGAAAATCAATCCATTTTAACTGGCATATTGGTAAATTGGTAAACCTTTCCATATACTGAATTTTATGATTATATATTATTTTAATTTGGATTAAGATGCCCATAGAGATCAATGTTAATTAGGATGATATAAAAAAGCCATAACATATGTTGTCTTTAAAATTCAAGTAAAATAGCATTTAAATAACATATTTTTATTATGATTATTATATGTATTCAAATAATTATTTTTGACCAGTTTTTTATCATTAGAGATTTTCCACTGAACGATACAGATTAAATATGTAATTCAATAACATATATCCCTGTTTGTTTCATTAAAAACTAATATGTCATATACTTCCACAAAAAGTATAAGAACTCATTTGTTAGGCTTCTTTGTATGTTGCTGACATTCAAGTGAAGCATTAACACTGTTACAGTTCATATGATCTTACCTGAATTAATATATCAACACATCACTCTTTGTAATAGCTCCCACATATCAGATAACTTACGTGCATTGTCACTCATCCTTATAACCACCATTAATTATCTCCATTTTACAAATAATTTTTTTCTTTTCAGTTAAATGACTGTTTAAAGCCATGTAAATATTAATTTTAGGAGGGAGAAAAACCTGTAGTGCGTCTGGTCCCAAAGTCTAGTTTATGTTTTAAAAATTATTTTATTCGAAAAAAATCATTTATTGTGTATATGTTTTGGAATATTTATATATTGTGGGATGGCTAAATGGAGCTAATTAATACATATATTGCCTCCCATAATTATCTTTTTTTTTTGTGGTGAGAACATTTAAAATCTATTCTTTTAGCATTTTTCAAGAATAGAATACATTGTTATTAACCATAGTCATCATGTTATACAATAGATCTCTTGAACTCATTTCTCCTAACTGAAATTTGTATCCCTTGACCAAGGTTTTCCCCAGTCCCCCATCAGCCCATCCCTTGGAAATCACCATTCTGCTGTCTACTACTGTAAATTCAGTTTAAGATCACGTGGTCTTCCTGTGTCTGGCTTACTTCACATAACATAATGTTCATGTATATTGCAAATGACAGGATTTCCTTTTTTAAAGGCTGAAATAGTATTGTGAATATGTAATGGATTTTCTTTATCCATTTATCTGCTGATAGACCCTCAGGTTTGAATCTGTATCTTGGTTATGAATAATGCTGTAATGAATATAAGAATGTAGATATCTCACTGATTTTATTTCCTTCGGATATATACCCAGGCGTGGGATTGCTAGATCATATGGTAGTTCCATTTTTAACTTTTTGAGGAACTTCCACACTGTTCTCTATAATGACTGTGCTAAGTTACATTCCTACCAACAGTGTGCAAGGGTTCCCTTTGAAGTCCACTTTCTTTCCTATCAAATCTATTACTGATTTCTATTAGTGTTATAGCAATATTACAAAGGAGAGAATTGTACTGCCTTTGTAAATGCCCATACAGCAAATGATACTGTTTACAGGAATTGTTCTCACATCTGAAATACTCTGCTAGGACAAATTTAACTAACCATGGGTTAAAAACTAAAAAGGTGTACTTTCTATTAAATAACTCTCATTTGTAAACTGATTCACAAATGCCTTCAAAAGATTTAAGAACAGTGTTACATACTGGCCGCATGTCTAATCTATAGGAGATATGCTAAATACATGTGGTTATTCAACAAATACTATCTGACGAAGGTTCAACTCCAAATTCAAATGTCACCACTTTTAATGGCTAAATGAAATGCAGCTGGATCTTAGTAAGAAAAATTAAGAGACAATTTGAGATCACTAGACACTCATTTAAGTTACTGAGGTGAATCTTCAGATACAGCTGATCTTGTAATAAAGAGATTAAGTGACAGGACCGGCAACTCTTGGTGTGATCTGACCCCTTGACTTCTTTACCATGACACACCTTTTTCATGTCGGCCACATTCGCCTCATTTTGGTCTCTAGGAAGCATTTCATAGGTCAAGAATGCTACTCTTTACACTTCTAGCCACATTTAGAGCTGGCTTCGAAAGACAGTGGTTAGGGAATGTTTTCCCAATGGGTGGAGCTGAGTGATGACGCACGTCACACACTTTGCTTAGAAAGAAAAGTGGCCCATGGCTGGGTGCAGTGGTGAAGAACTTGAGGTCAGGAGTTCTAGACCAGCCTAGGCAACATGGCGAAAGCCCATCTCTATTGAAAATACAAAAATTATCTGGGCATGCCTGTAATCCCAGCTACTCAGAAGGCTGAGGCAGGAGAATCTTATAAGGCCGGGAGGTAGAGTTTGCAGTGAGCAGAGATCCTGCCACCGCACTCCAGCCTGGATGGCAGAGCAAGACTGTCTCAAAAAAAAAAAAAAAAAAGCCCACAGAGAAATTATGTAGACTCATGGTCCATAGCAAATAGCCTACCACACTTGTCAGGGCCATAGGATAAAACAGATCACAGCTTGAGGGACAAGGAAGGGACTAGGCATGAAATTCGACAATCTTTCTGTCATTTGGTAATGTTTACCAGAAGCATCACTTTGGAATGCTGTATAGACAAAAGGACCCTTCTAGTTGATGTTAGCAAGCCTTTGTCATCAACCACCTCATACCTGGCATTGTGGGCACATAAACAGAGCACACATAAACAGGTCAGAGAAAGTGCCCATGGAAAGGCCCAAGAGCATGGACTCCTCATTGCCAAAGCTGATCTACCCACTGCTTCCTCTGAATGTTGAACCTGCCAGCAAGAGAGACCAACTCTGAGCTCCTGATAAGGTATTATTCTCAAGGGGACCACCAACCAGTCACCTTTAGTAAGTGAATGAAAACTGATCTCCTACCTTCTTGGAGGGCAAAATACTTCACTCTCAAAAACAGACATGCATAATGGTTATTGTCACAAAAACAGGATTACCTAGGGTACGGATTTATGAATTTGCTTTTCTGTCTCTCAGAGCTTGAGCCACCAGCTATATACAAGGATTTACAGAGTGCCCAATTCACAGGCATTCCAGTCTCTGACCAAGGAAACCACTTCTCAGCAAAGCAGAAGTGGAAACGGGTGCCCACCTGTGGGTTGGATCATAAACTGTACCACCTAGAAGCTACTGGCCTGGCCTGATAGCACAGAGGAATGTCTGGATAAAGGTACAGCTTGGGGCACTAGTCTGTGAGGATGGGAGCCATCCTTTAGGACACAGTAAATATATTGAAGAAGAGTTTCTTACATGTTATTGTGTCCCCACTGGAAGATTGGAAACTTAGGGGTGAAAGCAAGAGTTTCTCTACTTGTCATCACTTCCAATAACCTGCTGAAATTCTTTATGATTTCTGTACCTACAACTCTAGGCTTTTCCTGGTTGTGTTCCCTGTCCCCAAAGGGGTATTCTTCATAGAGTATAGAGCAATGGTCCCACTGAGCTACAAGCTATGGCTACTCCCTGGCCACTTTGGACTCTTCTGTCCAGGGACAAAAAGGCAGGAAGAGGAGTTACCATCTTGACAAAGGTAACTACTGTGCCTACTGTGATTAAAAACAAGTGTAGCAATGCTGGCCTGAAGCAGATGTGGTTGCCAGGGGCTCTTAGTCTCTCAGGAATGAGAGTTTGGATTCACCTCCAGGAAACCACTGAGACCAGCAGACAGAAAAGCTGAGAAGAGTGTAAAACAGTCAGTGGAAGATGAAGAAGATAAGTACCAGTTGGCCTTGAGAACAACTCTAGTGAAAGGAGCTGTCATGTATCCCTCTAACCTCTCTAAGTCTTTCCTCAGGAAGAAAGGTACGCTGGAACCCCGGAGGAGCAACTCCCCAGATGCATATGGAGAAATGGATCTACATTATGAAAGGAGAGACTGAGGCTGGGCACCGTGGCTCACACCTGCACTTTGGGAGGCTGAGGTGGGCAGATCATGAGGTCAAGAGATGGAGACCATCCTGGCCAACATGGTGGACCCCCATTTCTACTAAAAATACAAAAACTATCCAGGCATGGTGGAGCATGCCTATAGTCCCAGCTACTTGGAAGCCTGAGGCAGAAGAATTGCTTGAACCCAGGAGACAGAGGTTGCAGTGAGCCGAGGTTGCACCACTGCACTCCAGTTTCAGAAAAAATAAAAAATTAAAAAGAAACTTTGGGCTGGGCGCTATGGCTGATAACTATAATCCCAGCATTTTGGGAGACCAAGGTGAATGGATCATGAGAGGAGTTCAAAACCAGCCTGGCCAACATAGTGAAACCCTGTCTTTTCTGAAAACAGAAAAAATTAGCCAGGTGTGGTGGTGTGCACCTGTAATTCCAGCTACTTGGGAGGCTGAGGCAAGAGAAGCATGTGAACCGGGGAGGCGGAGGTTGTAGTATGCTGAGATCGCACCATTGCACTACAGTCCAGCCCAGGCGACAGTGCAAGACTCTGTATACAAAAAAAAAAAAAAAAAAAAAAAAAAAAGCTGGGCACAGTGGCTCACACCTGTAATCCCAGCACTGTGGGAGGCCAAGGTGGCGGATCACCTGAGGTCAGGAGTTTGAGACCAGCCTGACCAACATTGGAGAAACCCCGTCTATACTAAAAATATAAAAAACTAGCTGGACATGGTGGTGCATGCCTGTAACCCCAGCTACTCTGGAGGCTGTGGCAGGAGAATCACTTGAACCTGGGTGACAGAGGTTGCTGTGAGCCGAGGCCATGCCATCGCACTCCACACTGGGAAGCAAGAGCGAAACTCCATCTCAAAAAAAAAAAAAAACAAACCAAAACCCTGTTGCATCTAATTGTGCACTGCACACATTTTCCATCAAGAAAGAAATTGACATTTAGCTGTGAGGAGTGCAGGTAGCTGACAGCCTCCAGCTTCAGTGGATTTGGGATCTGCTACAATGGGTGAGCCAAGGCCACATTCTTCTGGGATATCCCCCAATCCCACTACTGACAGACAGCACAGTGGAGATACTAGTGCTTGGCCACTTGTGCCCAACACAAAACTCTTGAAGGATCGGCTGTGCTCTGAAGTTTTGTATTGATGTGGTCAAGAATTTGTGGCGTATATCAATCTGGGTTTTCTTCCTTATCTTCCTTTTACAAGTGTTATCTCCCCTTTCCCTCAAACAAACAGTAACAACAACAAAATGCACAAAAAGCCCAAACCAAAACTCTTGTACTTCTAAATCCATCTTAGAGTCTGCTTCCCAGTGGATCTGAGATGACACATATGTTGTTTTGGCATGCTAGGCTTTTGCTTTTTGGCTACTAACATGACATTAATTAATGCATTAATTATGTAACAATTTCTTATGTTGTCCAATACAACAAACTCCGAGAGTGACTACTGGACCTGTTTTTCACAATTGTATTCCCAGGGTCTAGTATAGTGCTTACTACTCAGTAAATATTCCCAACTTCTGGACAGCTATACCCATATTTGTATTTGGCCATCCTGAATGTATCATTCTAATTTGTGTAAGAAGTTCTTCCACAAGGCTCACTCATTACATTTGACAGCTCAGATCATTTCTGCTAAGCCAGTGGTTCTCAAATGTTAGCCTGCATCAGAACCACCTGGAGAGCTTGTTTAAACACAGACAGCTGAGTCCTACTCCCAGAGTTTCTGACTCAGCAGCTCAGAGTGGAACCTGAGAGTGTCCAGTCCTGACATATCTCCAGATGCTGCTGCTTGTCTGGCCAGGACCACCATTTGTGAACCTCTGCCCTAGGCCCCTGGCCTCCACTTATTAACAGATGAACCCAGCCTCTTTCTTGGTCACCTTCACATGCTCTTGCTCTTCCACCAACCTTCTCAATGCTCACACACTCCAGAGCACTGCCCACTTGTGTTCCCTTTTTCCTTGGGCAACCTCAGCCTCAAGCATAGCTTCGTTTTTGTTTTTTTTTCTACACAAGTGACTATATCCTACATTCTTGTCTTAAGCCCATGCATTGCTCTTCAGGGTCAAAC